GAAGCTTATTTTCAACACATGTCTGGACTCAGTACAGGATTTCAGGATGTCCTTGCAATGACTCAGCAACTAGAATCCATGAAATACTACAAAGATGGTACTTATATCATGTGATAGAAATTTGTATTTGCCAAAGGAGATGTAAATGGTCAAGCTAATGGATTCCATATTTGTACTTTTGCTGGAAGATCTTGCACATACATGTACAGAAACAAATGTACTATATATTTCAGTTTTTGTAAGTGTACTATCTTTGTTAATTGGATTGAGATGCTTTTATAAAGGAAATAAGAAGGACTTGAATACTTGCTGTAAATGTGAAAATAATTGAAATCTTATATACTATACTTGGTGTTTATTAAACAGAAGTCTTGAAACTTGCAGATGAGCACAGATATATTCCATGCTTTCTCTAAAGTGTGGAACATCGGTATTTTGATTTCTTCTTAGCAGTGGGATACAGAAGTACTTTATATTGGAATGCAAACAATCAACTGGGCACTACTTTTCTGTCTTTCAAGGATAGCTTGAAGACTCTTAGAATGAAAAAAACACTTTATTATGGGGATTAAAAAACATCAAGTCCTGTGTTTTACATACTTTGTTAGATAATAGAAATATAAAGTTTTTATATTATGTCTCAGCATACAGATCTAATTTCTGCACTTCTAATGCACCAGAGCAAATATATGTTACCATTTTACATTTGTATCAAACTATTTTTAGAAGCAAAATCCACAGATTTAACAGTGAGAAATAGGGAAGGGAATAAAAATGAAAACACTTTTTCCAGGGAAGACTCAGAATCATAACTCAAACCACTTAAAACTTTTTGTACTTTTTATATGAATAACTGCAAATGCAATATTTGAAGTCTGGAAGTAATAAGTCAGTGAGCATCCTAGCACTCAGCTGAACTTCATCTCTTCAAGATGTGTTATCCTGTACTTTACTCAATTTTTTTTAGTAATACCATGACAGCTGCAAGTGTGCTGTAGCCAACTGTACCTCCATGTATTACCTAGGGAAGAAGTTCAGATTTAGAATGCTAAACTGTGAAAGTAGTCTTGGACGTGACAAGTTGCTGAAATGAACAGAAAATTGAGACTTCTTGATGGAAAAGTGAAAGAGTGCCTTTAAGAAAGAGTTACGAATGCTGAGGACTTAATACTGCAAAGAAAACAAATCCATGTGTTTAGTGAAAACCTGTCAATGGGGTAATAAAATAAATCTTCAGAAGTAGTTGTGCTTATATCTGTTCGCAGGCTTCTTGTGCATCCTCTTCTTTCTGTACACATTAATATTTTCCTTGAAATTTTAGAAATTAATTCAGTGGTTAACAAGAACGAATACATCTTTCACCATCCCATGTATCATGGCAGTATTGTTTTGTTGTACTGTTTTCTTGTTTCTGGTGTTCAGTGATTCTTGAGTACCATAATAATAAGAATAGACTTGATGTTAGTGAAATTAAAGGGCAGAACAGAGTGATAAAGAAATTCTATAATTGGAGGAGATTTACCAGGAATGCAGTTAGAAATGTCCTTGTGTCATTCTGCTTGTCTTGTCACCAGATTGTTTATACAACTTAGGTGGTTTGTTTTGTTACTCTTGAAGGAGTTCCTCCTGACCTATGTTAAAACACTGTCTGCAGTACAAGACTGACTTGGAAAACTGTGGTCAGAAAATGTCTAGAAGTTGCATTGCATTTGTGTAGTGTGATGAATATAAAGTGCATAAATTGTAGTCCCTCAGGTCTTGGGACAGTGCTGGAGAATCAGCCACCTCCTCAAAGCTGGATCCTGTTTTCTGCCCATTTACACAGTGTTTTTCTTACCTTGCCTCCTCCAGAAGGGTCATCAGTTGATGAGCTACAGTTTTGCTCAATCTAGAACTAGGGTGATATTTTTGGTTTTGAAACCAGTCTCAAACTAAAATTTTCACTTAATGTTTACATATGTGACTCCCGTTTTGGGGGGGTTGTACTAGACTTGATAACATTTCAGCAAGGCCCATTATGACATTAAATGAAGATGATGAAAAAGAGGGTGATTATGTCTTTTGAATCATTTTCTTAACATAATCGTGAAGCTTCTGTGCTTGCCACAGCTTCCTCTGAGCAAATGGCCATTTCCTACTTCAGCTGTAGTGGCAGAACCCAAAACAAATCAAGGTGGCTGGCACTGTGATCATGGCAGTGAAGATGAACCTATACCTGTATATTTCACAGGCAAGTGCAAACCTGCATCTTAGCTTACATTTGGCAGTTTTTTCCATGTTACGCAGCACACATGCACAGTGTTCTTCCTGGCTCTCTTGCCTGTTGTCTATCTTACATTGTCTGTCTTACAACATCCCTCTTAAATTTGTTTAGTCTGGCAGTAATCCACCAAAGAAGGGTTCAGGATTCCCCACAAGATGTATTGGGATTGTGCTGTGTAGGCAGGTTTTCAAACCACAGGTGGAGGCCAGTTGATTACTATCTTAGTACTGGGAGGGCATGGGGAGGTTCAATCCAGTCACCTGGTCTATATGCAGGGAGTTGCAACAAAACACTTTGAAAGATTAAACAGGTTTAAAAGGAACTCCGAGCGAGCAGTACCTGTGTATATAAAGAGGAAAATGTTCGTGTTTTTTTGTCCCTGATGCAGAAGCCATGAGTTCGTAAGCTGGGGACGAGTTGCGGGGACGCGGCGGCGCCTGGGGTCTTGAAGCGAGCGCTGCCTGCAGCGCAGCCCGTGCCGCTGCGCTCCCTCCTGCCCAGCCCGGCCCCTGTGCGATGGGGCCGGCTCGGCTCGGCAGGGGAGCGGGGCGGGCTGATGTGGCTTGCGGAGAGGCCACTGCGCGGCCCTTGGTGTCCTGCTCCCTCCTTCCCTTCCTCTCCCTTCAGCTTGGCGGGCAGTGCAGGGTACAACCCGGGAGCTTGGCGAGGAGGGCGGTGGGGGCGTGCCCGTTTCTCTTTCTCTGGGACAGCTCGTTGGTTCCCTCACTCTGCTCCCCTTCAGCCCTCTAGTGCGAAGGGGAGCTGCCCTGAAGCCCCTCAGCTTCGCGTCTACGGCCCTTCGGCTCCGAAGGCGTGCAGAGCTCTTGCCGCAGCTCCGTTCCTGCAGCACGCCGGCGCTGCCTGCAGCGCTGCCCCGATTCCTCGTTCCCGCGGCGGTGCAGCGCACAGCCACACGCCTCGTCCCGCTGACCACCCTTCTCCTGCCCTCCCCTGCAATCCCGCTCCGCAGCCGATCCCTCGAAAGAGAAGAGCGCGCCACCCGTCCCCAAGAACGGTGGGACGTCGGCACTGCATGGCAGAGCCGACAGTAGACCCAGACGCCAACAAGTCGTCAAGTTGAAGGGAGACCACGGGCAGCCGAGTGTCAAGTAGGCCGCCGTCCCGGGGACGATGGTTACCAGGAGGCTTTTGCCACGGAAAACAGTGTCGCCGCTCTGAAAAGTGCATATTGTATGGCTCTACGCAGTTGTTTACTATACACATTAAGTTGTATTGAGTCGTAGTGCAGTATTAACATTTTAATAGTATGGTAAGTGTAGTTTCATAGCAAAAAGGTAACTTTTGTAGTTAAAATAGGAACTACGTATGTGGAATGTTTTCTTTTTAGAAAGGAATGAGGGGCCCTCACCGGATGGCAGCTGTAGGACACCTAAATCTTTCAGAGAAAGGGAATTTATTGCTCCCTTATCAGCAGAAAACTAACTTCTTCCCACCTTGCTCAGACAGGAAGACGGCATGAGGATTAAGAGGAAGAAGTTGACAGTGACCAGAGAGAATCCTATGTTTGAATGGAATTTATGCATCATGTATGAGATGTATAAATATATAACAGGCGATTGGTTTTAAGGGTTAATCCTTTGTTAATGGGGGTCATTTCTTGGGCTTGTGTTGCCCAGAAAAAGGTACCCGGACGTCCGTATCTCTTTGTTTTTATTGTCTCATATTGTCCTAATCTCAATTGTTCAAATTTTATTACTCTAATTATATTACTATTTTTATAACCATTTTATTACTATTAAACTTTTAAAATTGTAAAAACGAGTGATTGGTGTTTTTCACAGCCGCCAACCCCAGAGTCCCAGCCTAAGTCCCAGTCCCAGCCTCTTTGTACTGTGTGCCACTTCCCCAGCACAGTGCTTGGATGCTGCTGTGGCAGAGCTGTGCCTTCCTCTGGTGCCCTGAAATAGGGGTCATGAGCCCCTGCAGTGCTCCACGCTGCAGGGTTGCAGCTTTGCCCACACTGGCTATGGAAGGAGGCGCTGTCAGCACTGATTTTCTGAATTTCCTTGTAGTCAGAGCATCAGACTCCAAACCCCATGGAAATACGTAAATGTCATCCAGCAGAAGACACATACCATGTCAGGCTTTTTTTAGTATCTTGCTTGAGTCTGAAGGCCCAGACATGGATGATAGTAACGACCCAAACCTGTGTAGCACTATGTGAAGGACATCTAGGACATCTACAATTATCTGAGACACCTGACACCTGAGGCATCTAACGACATTTGCAGTAAACTGTCCTTGCAGATGTGGCTTGCCTTGGAGCAAGGATTTGCTTTCACTGATGATTTCTCCAGAGTTATTAGTAAGCCTCCTTCAGCTTTAAAATACAGGATTGAACTTGGCTGGTAATATGAAGAGATGCTGGTTGTTAGACCAACCAACTACTAATACTAGTGCTGTGCTCTTTCTAGCCCATGTCTAGTGAGCAAGGAAGCTCTGCACCCTGTGGTCTACACCCATGGGTTATGTGTGTACCAAACTTCTGGATAAGGACAGGAGAAGAGGAAATGGCCACAAGCTGTGCTAGGGGAGGTTCAGGTTGGGCATGAAGAATTTCTTTACTGGAAGGGTAGTCAGATACTGGAATGGGCTGCCCAGGGAAGTGGGCAGGTCACTCTCCAGAAGTGTCAAGAAGTGACTGGAAGTGTCAGTTGACAAAGGGCTTTTTTTTTTTACCCTAGGCTAAAGCATGAATGCTGGTCAGTAACACCCTGCATGACTGGACATACCCTTAACAATACAGATGACCAACAAAGGACATTCGATTCTCAATTGTATGTACCACAAAAAGCTCTTGGCTATGAACAGTGAGTTGATGTATCAAAACTCCTTATTCCTCTCCCTGATTTGAACTCAAGGCTTTCTAACACCCCTGCAGGTGCTAATAGAGGTAACAGAGGATGTGTAGTTATTCTGTGCAAGTGTGTAGGAACATCCTGCCATATAACAAATCTTACAGTTGTTACTGTAAATTGAATCTGGAAAAGGCAATACTTAACTGTGGCAACTTGTTAAAATGGCTCAAAATTTTTGAGTACTGCAATTGAGCCTGGCTGAGACCTGTCTTCCACGTAGAAATGAGTTTTATTTATCTGTTCCTTTGACATGAGCCAGCCACGTGCAGGAGGCACCCAGAAGAAGCTTTGTCTCTGGGAGGACTTCACCTGGCAACACCTCACATGGAACAGGTAGTAGGAGACGCTGAACTCCCCAGAGGGACTTGTCCAATCGGATGGTGAAAGGTAGGACTGGGACAGTGGTCTCCTGCCAGCAGATGGGCTTTGGGAGGAGCCAAGGGCATAAAAAGTAACTGTGTCAGAATGGCCCGGGACTTTTTGAAACTTGCTCTTTACTCATGGGTTTTTGGATTGGGGCTTTTTTTGAGAGTCTGCTTTTGCATTTGAGGCTTGGTGATTAGAGGGGCTTTTTGAATCTTATATTTGTGCTTTGGCTCCAGCCTCCTGAGGTCTGCTTCTTGTCCTGGCCCTAGCCTGTTTTTGCCCCTTTTTTTTTTTTTTTAACTGAGTGAACTAGGTTGGAAAATACCTTTGAGATCAACTAGTGACCTGTGTCCTAACCTAGCACCTCCTCATCAACTAAACCATGGCACTGAGTGCCACATTCCAGGGACAGTGACTCCACCACCTTCTTGGCAGCCAATTCCAGTGCCCAATCACTCTTCCCGTGAAGAATTTTTTTTTTTCTGATATCTAATCTAAACTTTCCCTGGCACAGCTTAAGATTGTGTCCTCTAGTTCTGTCAATCCTTGCCTGGAGAAGAGACTGACTACCACCTGACAACAGCCAGGTAGTTGTAGAGAGTGATAAGGTCTCCCCTAAGCTTCCTTTTCCCGGGCTAAACAACCCCAGCTCCCTCAACTGTTCTTCATATGGCTTGTGTTCCAAGTCCTTCATCAATCACCCTTGTTGCCCTTGCCTGTGTTCAAAATCCCTCCTAAACTGAGGGGCCCAGAACTGGACACAGTACTACTCAAGGTGCAGATGTTCAGTTGTAATGTAAGTAAGCCTAGTTCTATGCAGCGGCTCTCTGCACTTAGTGTTTACTTTTTGCAGTCAATTTTTTACTTCCGTTGGTAGCTTGCACCTATTGCTTCTATCTCCACGCGAACGCTAGGTCAGAGGGAAAGAGTATTGCGCTTTACCTAGTGCTCTGCCAGTGTCATTTTCTTTTTTTCCCTTGCACGTTCGGGACCGCGGCCACTGAGGGCTGGGCTGCCCCGCCCCTGCTCTGCGCAGGCGCGGGGCGCGCGGGCCGCCGGGAGCCGCGCGGTTTGAAGGCACAGCCATGGCGGGAGTGACCCGGGATGCGGCCCCGGCTTCGGCCCCGGCGTGGTCCCAGGACAGCGACGGAGGCTTCGGCGAGGTGGATATCCGCACTCTGCTCCGGTTAGTGCCGGCGGGACGGGACGGGACGGCGAGCAGTCCGGGGTGGGATGAAGGGTTACGCAGCCTCTGACCGTTGTCGCTTTACTCCCGCCGCAGCCTGAAGGACCGAATGAAGGAGCAGCTCATAGAGTACAACACGGCTGTTCTTGCCAGTAAGTATATCCCTCCTCTTAGTGGGATGTTGCACTAACAAAGAATGGGATGTGGCATTTATATTTTTATATATAAATATATGTTTACATAGTTTTGGAATATTTTCTTTAATTATTTATCAAAAGTACTCCTTACGATAATGATGGGTTGTTTTTTTTTCTGGCTGAACATTTTTAATACATTTTCTAGGCAGCTTTTGAGACATATTTGAATGTTTACAAAGATGCCATATAGCTGCTGCCCACTACCCTTTCCTTCCTTTTCTGGGTTTGACCTTTAGGCTCCTCTGACACGTAGTGATGGTTTTCAGAAATCTGGTCACTGGGCTGAAGTCTTGCCAAAAGTTTGCCAAAGTGTTTGGCAGCAATATTGATTTAAGGTGTTTCCATTACCTGTAGAGTCACAAGATGATTTCGGTTGGAAGAGGCATTAAACACATCCCCCACCATGCACAGCCACTTCCACTAGACCGTCAGAGCCCTATTCAACCTGACAACCTGATCTTGAACACTCCCAGGGATGAGGCATCCACAGCTTCTCTGGGCAATCTCTCTACCAGTGCCTCATCACCCCACAGTATATCTAATCTAAACCTACCCACTTTCAAACACAAACTGTCCCCCCTTGTCCTGTTACTACATACCCTAGTAAAAAGTTCTTCTCCAGCTCTCTTGTGATCGCCATTCAGGGACTGGAAGGACTCAGCAAGGTCATCATGCAACCTTCTCTAAGCTGAACAGCCACTCCCTCAGCCTTTTCCTCATAGGAAAAGTGCTCCAGCCCTCTGATCATCTTCAGTGCCTTCTTCTGGACCTTCTGTAACATATCCATGTCCTCCTTATGTTGGGAATCCTAGGCCTGGATGCAGCACACCAGGTGGGGGTCTTCCAAGAGCTGAGTAGAGGGGCAGAATCACCTCTCTTGACCAGCTGGCCACATTTCTGATACAGCCCCAGGTGCAGTTGGGAGCATGCTCTTCCAGTGAACTATCTAGTGACATATGTAGAGCAATGTCTTGAACCAGCTCTAGCGCATCTAAAAAATGCTAAATTAATTATTTCTCTGATACAACTGATTGGTAGTGTAGCCTCATTAACAGTAAAAGATAATAAAGCTTTGAGGTAGAAGTAAGAAATAACTTGTTCACACAAAAAAATGCTAATCCTTTATGCTGTATGGATTGTACTTAAAAGTCTCTGTTGTACTTGTTTTGACAATGTTCTCTTTTGCAGGTCAGGAAAATTTCCTTGATCAAGGAATTGAAGAAAACTTTATCCAGAGGTATGGCACTGGATAACTTCAAAATTCTCTTCTAGTTATTTCTTCTTAGTGAATTTCTGGATTTACAATCAGTACTTCAGAGAAGATTGGTGAAAATAATGGAAACTAAGAGGAAATGTGGGGAAGAAATGCTTTATTAATTTTCCCAATGTACTTCTGTATCTGATGTGGCTTTTAAATTTGCAGTCCTTTACATGATGTCTAGAATTCACTAATATAGTTCCACATGCTAAATTACTCCTGGCCCTAATGATTTGTGACTCACATGAAAAATTCTTACATTAGATATGGAGAAAGCAAGTTAAAATGTGACACTGCTTTTAATCTCTGTTGTCTTCACGCTCAGTTTTTTTGTCTTATTGCTTTTTGTCTTTCAGTGCCACACGGGATTTGGAAAGAGATCTAGAAGAAGCCAAAGTGTCTTTCCAGAACAAGACATTGGCCTTGCAAAGGTAGAATTTTCTTCACCCTTTATTTGGAGCTTTTCTCTCTGTGTGTGCATACATAGATGCATATATACATAGGTCTGATTAAACCAGGAGTTTAAAGGGATATGGGAAATTGGGGAGGATTTTAAGTACTATTGAACAATAGGAATGCAGATGGATATGCTGTACAAAACAAAACAAAAAAAAGCCCACCAAAACAAAAAACTTACAGGCTGAAATGTGTACATCCATAAGTTCCTGTACAGTTGGTAAAGAGTGACTGTACAATCAGTGAGCATATTTCTTGGCAGTAGTTTCCAAATGCCTATGAAAAGAGGGAAGTTGATAATGTTAGACACCTCATGTGTTTCATGGCTGTTTATTTGAATTCACACCTTTGCCCAGCTTCCTTTCTTCAGACTCTGGGATTAATGGTGTCCAAACATGTTGGTCAAGAGAAAAAGGAGTTGTCATTCTCTCAAATAATCATTGATACGTCTTTCCTGTCTTGAGAGTTAAACCCCAGTATTTAGGAAGTGTGGTATTTAAAAGGTACTGAGTGTTTTGTTTATATAATTCCAATGTGAAAGTGCAATCCTGGAAATTATGTTCTTATATTACTTATTTAAATCTGCTTCTCTCTGTTTCCTGCTTCTCTTAGTTTCTTATGAGTTCTCATTAGTCATATGCTATTTCTTGCAATATGCAGGATCCAAATTATGGATGCCCTAAGAAACAAATTGAAACAAGAGGATGAGGACTCACGGTAAGGTGTTCTTGGGAGTCAGACAGTTAGAAAGCAATGGACTTTGCACAGTTTACTGTGACACATTTCTAGGTTATTTCATTTTACCGCTCGTAAAAGCAAGCTTCCTTTTTCTAGATTTGGCAGAATGATAAACTGTCTATCTCCTGGCTAGAATCAGCATGATCAGACTTAATACACCCATGGTAGATTTGCACTTGGGTTCTGAATTTACTTACCTTTGATTACAGAGAACTCTTGATTCACTAGTGAGAACTGCTTGTAGCCAAGAGAACATTTTCTTTAGTGCCTGAATTACCTGCATATATCGTTGAGCACATTACAGGCTTGTAACAGGACCTTGCCTCTGCTTTGCTGCCTTTATTAGTTAACTATGTGGGAGCAAAATGTCTTTGAAATAGAACTGAAAGCTTAAGCATTTTTAAAAGCAGCTTTTCGTTGCCAGCACATTATTAACAGGTGGATGCATATGAAGTGTAATATGAGAATTTAATTTCTGTCAAAAATGCAGCTAAGAGATTGCATCTCCTTGATTTAGGAGCTTTAATTCATAGCCATTTCCAGATGGCTGGGCTTTCTTGATGCTGTCCAAACTCTCTGATGTAAAATGTTGGACAGACTTAAATGAAATGTTAGGGAAATTGAGAGGGGAGTAACGGAACTCTTTGGCCTCTACAGTGACACTGAGTATATTAACTGATATTGTAAGTGCAAAAAGAAGTGACACATATTACTAGTTTGCTGTTAGGAGAAATCAGAAATTCTTTATTTAAACTAAATAAAGTTGATTAAAATATTTATGATATTGACTCATATTAATGGTCTTAAGGTATGCAACTGTTTCCTTCCTTAGTCTGATCATGGAAACAATGAAACACATAGTATTGCTCAGCCGGACAATAATTGACTACCAGCAGGTAAGTAAGTGGCAGACGTAGCTTCTATTACTGTTGCACAGGTCAACCAACCTCAGCATGGGCAGGAGTGCACTTTGAAAGCAACATGACTGCCCAAGTTATTCAAAGCTAAATATGTGGTGACATGGGTGCAGTTCCTACTGCTGTCAAAATTAAGGATTACTTAAAGTGGTCATGTAAGTAAGTCTTTAGAGTTGCCCTTAGCTGTTTTTGTGGATTGAATTAGCATCAGTATTATTGAAGACTAGAGTCTGGAAAATACTTTATTTTTCCTTTCAGCAAGTATGTCAGAAGGAACAGCAGCTGATTGACATTAAAAGGAAAAGACTCTGTAAGTGTGTTACCTGTATTGACTTTGGTTTGTATTTTAATGTAGAGTTCATATAGTTCATATGTTACAGTTATTCTTGTAGCAATATTAATTTACATGGGAAGTAACAAAACTCAACAGTTATAAAACTTGTTAAAAGAGAAATTTAACATCTCTCTACTGTTGAGATGGTGTGTTCCCTACTTGTGAGACTGACACATTAGAATGAGAGATGCAAAACAACACTCAAAAGCAATGTGGAAGCATTTTATTATTTCATGTAATCTCCTCAGAAAGTTACACATTGTTTAGTTATTTTAATCAGCCCTACAGCACCTAAAAGATACTTTTTTGTCCTACTGCACATTTATGAGGTATTTGCAGAATAGAGAGGGAATTTACTTAGAAAGAAGTGTAAATATATTGGGTTTCACTAGATTTGTTAGAGTGGGTCAAATTTAGATGTGACATCAATATTTAGAACTTCATATGGTAAATGTGTTCTTTAAATGCTCTTTCTTTCGTGACCAGGTTTGCCACCAATTTTAACAGCTATTGTTTGTTTCACACGTAGGGATGTTGACAGTAATGAACAAACACAGTGAAATAACTGTTCACATTGGAAAAATGAACATACTGATATTCAAATTAAGGAAGGAATTCTCTGCCAGCATTCTTTCAACATATGAACTGCCCCTAAACACTTAGTCTAGTTTTTAACCTGGTTTCCTATAAAAATAGTAATATTTGCTGGTCATGTTCATGTGCTCCTTGTATGACTTCGGAATTTGGTTTCAGTGAAATCTGAAAAAGGAGTAAGGGGCTTTAAAAAGTATAAAAAAGACCTATAAAAGTTGTGACACTCAAAAACAGGGGATGGGACAGAGATGCAAATTAGTCCCTGTGTGAGGAAAATGCAGGCAGCATACAATGTACTTTCTGTTTTGCTGTTAGCCAGGGAACCAATTGAAGTAGTTTGATACCAAGTAGCCACAGGATGTGTTGCTTCTTTCATAAAAGAAATACATTGAGGAATATTGGAGGGAATGAGTGTGAAATAAGGATTTATGCACTGGAAGTGCTTTAAGTGGCTGTAAGAAAAAGAGTATCTTCCGTTCTACTCTACACCTAACTACTTAATGCTTAATTTTCCTAATAATGTAACAGCACTAAAAAAAAATGGAGGACAGAAACTACAGCAAATTCATACCATGATGAAAAAGCCAAAGGAGGAACAAGCAAGAGTGAATGTAACTGAAAAAGAGAAGATGCTTGCTAAATTAGAAAAAGAAAGACAGATGACTACAATTATTCAAAATGTGTTCCAGGTAATGTTGTGTGGCTTTTAGAACCAAGTTAACAATTTTTGATTACACTCAAGATAATATACTGTATGGCAAATATAACTTAACAACACAAAATTGTTTTCTAAAACTTTTAAGTTTAACAGTGGAGTAACTGTGTATTGAAGGAAGAATTCTACTGCTTTAATGGCTAAGAGAATGAAATTGTCACAAGCCTTTTCACTTTTTTTTTTGCAGAGTTTAGAGATAGTCTATCAATCCATCTTTGTTTCCTTAAAGGGACAAAAATAACACATCTTTCTTGAAGAACGTCTGTCACAGTAATGGCTGTATTTCCTTCTACTTTGAGTCTCCTCTACACTCTACCAAATCAGTTTCCTCATGTCATGGTTAGAAAAAATAAATAGATATTAATCCCATGTTTCCAGGGAGTATCTGCCCCTTCTGGCCTTCTCTGTTTGTGTCACCTCCTACAGTCCTGTGAAAGCCTTGGCCTGGCCACGGCCAGCCTCCAAATTCTTTCAGCAGTGTAGACTTTGCCGTTTTGGTTGTCCATGTGTTGGGCTGCTAACTAGACTGTATACATGCAGCAGCTCACAGGCCACCTGCCAAGTGAGGGGAAAAATGTCATGATTTGGGTTAGGGTGGAAGGGTCTCGGGCTGCATAGGAATGTCAAGGACAAAAAGAGCGTTCTGACTTTTTGCTCTGCGTGCTACGGCTGCTACTATTTTGCATTGATAATGTCATTACATCTCAAATTGAGAATGATAAATTTAACACTGTACTGGGATTTAGATTAGAATCTAAAACTATCTCTTGGTTTTGTATTCCTGACATTTTCTGAACCTTAAGTGCAGCAAATGCTCTTTGGTTAAATTTAAATTCCCCTTTTCAATCCAGAATGGCAGGGTGAGAATCTTAACTGTGTTATTTTTTGTTTGAGGCAAACTTTATTTCATATTGTTAAAAACGTTCTCTGGTTTCTGTGTTTAACATAGAGGTAGTATGCAAGGCTCTCTAGGAAATAAAAAAGCACGGATTTGGGTTTTTTTTGCCTATGTATCATCAATAGGATCTAAACCAATACTTCCCTTTCTCCTTTTTCCCTCCATCCTGCCTACTTCAAACACTTGTGAATTTCAAGTGCTTTCAAATTGAAATTAAAAAGCAGACTTTCTTTGAGATATTTTACTAGGAATTGTCCTTTACAAGGGCTTGTTTTAACCTGTAAATCTTTCTCATTTATAGAACATCATTATTGGAAGCAGAGTTAACTGGGCAGAAGATCCATCTTTAAAGGCAATTGTTCTACGGCTTGAAAAAAATGTGTAACTTCAGTGAGTCCGGAGACGTGGTGTTTATTTGCTACAGTGTTTATTTTCTTCAGTGCATTTTAACTAAACTTGATAGATTATATTTATCTCAAAAACAAACTTAAAGAATTTAAAAATTTTACCTTTCTGGAAGATGTTGTTCTCTCCAGAGAATTAGAATGTGTCAAAGCAGACAGTAGAGCTGGTTAAATTACCTGAAGACTCGCTTCTCAAGCTGTCCTGTCTGAAGCACTTATTTTCCTCTGAAAGGCAGCAAGAACACAAGACAAGTTTCAAGGTTTCATGTAGAAGCAGACTTAAACTGAGGATTTGCTGTACCCCTTTCCTGGGGACCAGCAGGCCATAGAGCTCAAGCAGGATGCACGACCCTGCTCAGTCCCAGTAAAAAGCTCAATCAGGAAAATTTATTAATAAGTCTGGAGTTGGGATTATTTTTTGTTTTTAAGGCATTATGTATCATTTTAAACACCAGAAACTTTATGCTTTCCTTAGCAGTTACTCTCACTATGAGATGACTTCATACTGTCAGCTGTGCAGCTAAGCAGTATTTTAATTCCACGTCTTCATTAGCATTTGCGCTTTTTTTAGTTGGTGTTGTTTGATGTTTGATGTTTGAAGGAAATCGACTCTTGGGTTGACTACACACTTTAGGAGTGTGTAGTGTCCCTGTTATCTTGGTGTCTAACTTCATTTTTAACTTGGTGAGTGATCACTAGCTATTTTTTGAAGGTGGATGCCTTAATCTAATAATAAAAATAAAACGCTGATTTTCCTGAAAATGCTGTACTCGGTCTTTAGTGTTTTTAACTCGCGGTAGAGCAGCTTGCCTAGCAGGCCCCGGCCCCGCTCCGCGCCCGCCCACAGGCGCAGGCCCCGCCCACGGCCGCCGTTCGTGGCTGTGGGCGTGGCCCCGAGCTGCCCTCTGGCTCCTCACCATGGGCAGCAAGATGGCGGCCGCTACCAGGGCGGTGCAGGTAAGGGCGGCCTCGGGACGGCGGTGTCTAAGACAGCCAGAGCCCTGGCACGGGCGGCGAGCCTCGCTTCTGCTGCCGCCGCCGAGCGGCAGGTTTGAGGCGGGCGCGGCTTGAGGACGTGCCGGCGGGGCGGCCGATGTCCTTGGGGAGAGCTGTGCAGTGGCGCGCACACGCTGTCGCAGGTGCTGTGATAGCAGCGCGTGCGGAGCTGGCTGGCAGCTCCTTCCTAAGATGGGCCTCTCCAAGGTGAAAGTGCTTTGAACGGGCAGAGCACAGCTCGCGATTCCGTGTGCAGAAGCGCTGTGGAACCACGGCATGGTTTGGATCGGAAGGGACCTTAAAGGTCACCTCGCTGCAGCACTCCCCGCCGTGGGCAGGGACACCTTCATTAGAGCAGGTTCTTCAGAGCGCCGTCCAACCTCGTCTTAGGCGCTTCCAGGGATGGGACAGCCACAGATGCTCTGGGCAACTTGTGCCAGTGCTTCACCAGGCTCAAAATAAAGAATTTCTATCTAATCTTCCTAGTCTTTCTAATCCAAACCTGCCCTTTGGGTTGTAAGGTCTCCCCAGAGCATTCTTCAGGCTGAACAACTCCAGTTCCCTCAGCCTGTCCTCACAGGAGAGGTGCTCCAGCCCTCAGAACATCTTAATGACCCTGCTGTGGACCCACTCCAGCATGTCCATGTTTTTTTGTTTTTGTTGGGTTTTTTTGGTGTTTTGTTTTGGTTTTGTTTTTTGGGGGTTTTTTTGGGGTTGTTTTGGTTTGGTTTTTTGTGGGTTTTTTTTGGGTTTGTTTTGTTTTGTTTTTTTGTGGGTTTTTTTTTTTTTTTCTTCTTTGGGGACCCCAGTGCTGGACATAGCACGCTGGGTGGGTTCTTACCAGAGCAGATTGCATTGTGATTGCATTTATGCAGTGGCAGTGGCTGTTTCTGCACACACACACTGAGGAGAAAAGGAAGACAAAGTCTGTACCTGCTCTGGACCTCAGGGTGCAGGACTACTTCTTAAAGTAAACTTCTTCCTAGGGTAAACTTAAGACTTCAAGAAGCAGTAAGTGTATCAGAGTAGTGGTGCAGAAAGCAGCTGTGTAGAGTGGTTGTTTGATACATTGTGCATTCTGTTTTATTATTCACTGTAACCTGTGTCTGTTTCTCCCACTACCTGGTCTCCTTCTAGGTAGTCAAGCCACATACTCCATTAATAAAGTTCCCAGACAGAAAAAGTGGTCCCAGACCTAAAAGTAAGTATTTTGGGTATGGATACAGCTTGCGCACATTTCTTTACATGGACTGTTCTATTTAAGAACCAGGACCCAATTTCTCTCAGCTATACAGCTGAACTGAGTTGGAATGAGGTTTTTGAAACATGCTTGGTTTAGTTTGAAGGCAACTCTGGAACTTCCCCCACAACTTCTTTTCTGTGCAGCTGTGTGTAGACACATAATGCATGCAGATCTTTATTTTTTTTTCTCAAGAAAGATTCACAAGGATTTCCAGTGTTTGCTTTCTACTTTATATAAAGTCACACTTTCCCAAATACTAATATTTACTGAAATTGCTGTGCCAAAGTCACTTTGAAGCAGCTGTAGTTATTCAGTGATATTTGCGTAAATGATGTTGCATTTTCCTCATTTTTAATTAGTTGAAGCGTGTGATGTATTTTCTGCTGTATTTTCAAAACATTATTGTAGCTGGGAGATCCAGCCCTCTGTACATTTTAAGAAGTATTTTCTTGTGTACTAACTAATGCTGAGGGAAAAAATATTTCATTGCAATATTTGATATTAACTTATACCCACACTGATATTTATGGTATTCCCAATACTATTATAATTAAAAATGGACTTATATTAGCAATACGTTGATTTAGACGTCCTTTTGGGTCAAAAAGCATGTGAAAAAAAAAGTAGGAGTTGTCTTTAAAAGCTCTGTTATGTTATTCTCACTTCTTTTGATATTATACTGTGCCTAGTTATTTGTCACAGCATTATCAAGCCCACAGTTTAGCTTTAATTGAGTTTAACATTTGAAATCCTCCACAGTGCATATAAATGTCTCTACTAACTTGTCTGTGAGCTCTAAAGGAACTATTTTCTGCAATAATTTTCTGTAAAAATTTTCTGTACATTTTGCACAGTTCAGCCAAATGCAGCACTTCTCATGCCAGTGAACTATTTTCCCAAAAGCTTGAAAATGTGTTTCTGACCTCTTGTTTATCTCTGTGTCAGAAGATTCTTGTGACTATATCTTTTAAGTATGTTAGACTTTTCTACCTTCATCAGGATCTGTTATCTTGTTGGTAAACTGCAACCTAATTTGTCTTGCTTGAATGCTGTATCAAAATCTGCATTTAATGATACCAGATTGTTGCTCCTACATAGCTAAATGGCTCCTCAGAACAACTAGGGATGTGAAAGGCCAGCCAAATTCTAGTGGGCCTAATACTACTGCAACATTATGGTCTCAAACAGGGAAGAGAGATGTAGTAGAGACTGTAATAGAACTAAACCAGCAACAGTAAAATTCTGATTACTGCATTTCTGGTGTTTTTAATTTGCTAATGAGTCTACTCCAACTACACCTCAGACTGAAACATACAGTAGAGGAAAATCCTTGACAAATCTCTAGACTTTTGTGGTGGGTCAAACAAACTTGGAGAATTTTTTTTTCAGTTTCAGGGTTTTTTCTTCTTTTTTCTTGTTTTGTTTGGGTTTTTTTTTTCTTTTTTTTTCTTGTATGTAAAGTGTATTATTTCTTGAAACAAAAATACTTTGCCCCCTGTTCACAATAAACATGCTGCTTCTGATGAGCTCACTTCTGCCTTGCTCTGTTTGGGATCTTCCATTATTTCTGAACCACCTTGGGACTTTCAGACCCAGTCTTATAACTGACAGCTTCTTAATATGTCTCTCAGTGGTAGCTTCATCAAGGTGCTGCTGTTTGTCCCAATCCTGCAACTGCATCAGACTCATTAAAGCTAAAACTGGCTCCCTCTCCTTTGTGGTCATTAGTCTTGCTGGAGCCAGGAAGGGCGAGGCAGGCAAAACTGTGGTGGTGTAGCTGCTCACATGCTTTCGTACATGCTGCTTATTTTATAGTTATATAGAGATTCTTCCAGCTGTTAAATGTTGCACTTGTCTTGGTCATTTTTCTGGAGCACTGGGAAGGATGTCTGTGGAAGCATTCAGCTTTGTGGGGTGTTATACCTTACATATCACAGAAGGTGATCTTCCATCACTAGGCTGGAAGAGGCCTTCAAGATTATGGAGTCCAACCCATGCCTTAACACCTCACCTAGACCATGGCACCAAATGCTACATCCAGTCTTTTTATAAACACATCCAGGAATGGTGAGTCCACCACCTCCCCAGGCAGACCGTTCCAGTACTTTATCACTCCTTACTTAAAAAACTTTTTCCTAATATCCAACCAATATTTCTTGGTGCAGCTTAAGGCTGTCCTCTGGTTCTGTCAGTTTCTGTCTGCTGAAAGAGACAAACCCCCACCTGACCACAGCCCCCTTTCAGGAAGTTGTAGAGAGTGATAAAGTCACCTCTGAGTCTCCTTTTCTCCAGGCTAAACACCCCCAGCTCCCTCAGTCATTCCTCACAGGGTTTGTGTTCCCAGCCCCTCTCCAGCCTCACTGCCTCCTCTGGACGTGCTCCAGTGTCTCAAGGTCCTTCCCAAACTGAGGGGCCAGAGCTGGACACAGCACTCAAGGTGCTGCCTCACCAGTGCCGAGGACAGGGGAAGGGTGACCTCCCTGCTCCTGCTGGCCACACTGTTCCTGACACAACCCAGGATGCCTTTGGCCTTCTTGGCCACCAGGGCACACTGCTGGCTCATGTTCAGCCGCTGTCAGCAGCACCCCAGGTCCCTTTCTGCCTGGGCACTGTCCAGCCACACTGTCCCCAGCCTGTAGCGGAGACCAGGTTGATCAAACGTGACCTACCCCTCCTAAACTCATGCTGGCTGGGTCTGAGAGGTCAGGCTAATCTATAGGCCTACAATTACCAGCATCCTCCTTCGTATTCTTTTTATGAATGGGTGTCACATTGGCCAGCTTCCAGTCCTCTGGAACCTCACCAATGAGCCAGGACTGTTGGCAAATGATGGAGAGCGGCTTTGCAAGCTACCCCTGGGATGGATCCCCTCCCATATACAGGACTGAGTCCTGAAATTAACACATTGCTATAATTTCTGTCCTGCCTAATGGGGCAATTGCATATTTCTATTGTAAAATCAGTTATGGTGGGAGAGACCTAAGTTTTGGAATGTTGACTGTGACATTGCCCTTTTGTCATCTCTGCTATCTGCACAATCAAGGCAGCTTCTCTGACGTGAATTCCTGAAGCTTAGCTCCTGATCCTCACCTGTGAAGAACTTCATGCACTCCTCAGTCTTTACATTTCATTGACATTAATTGCTGATGCCTGAGACTTGGTGGTCATTCTGTACATCATTAATAAAATGTGATAGGGTGCCATTTTGTAATAATACAAATGAGTACAGCACTGCAATGCATGTTGCAGCCTGTTGTGGTTGTGAGTCTTATTTTTCTGTAGGCCTCTAGATCTTTTTCACTTGTCTGTCTTTTCAGTTGCAGTAAACGAAAAGCTCTCAGTTATCTTTCTACATAATTGCCCACACACAAGCATGTATATAACTTTATGGTTTTTCTCCAAGTACAGCTTCCCAGTGAAAAAGCCATTGTTAGGGTGTATGCTGATATATCTTTTGTTTCCACATCAGTGTTTCTGCCATTCAAACTACTGTCAGAATTTTTAGATTCTG